GTAACGATGCACACAATGATACTGAAATCAACAGTATAAATAAAATCGAGCCTAAACTACAATGGAATTGTTGAAGAACAACATGGATTTGAAGCTTATGTCAAAAACTAACCGCTGGAAACTAGAATTGATTTGATTTGGTGCTGAATTTGCCGTTCAATCGCCAAAGAAATTCGTTGTACTCCGTCTAGCTCGCTGCATCGCTTCCAGAAACCAAAGTCGGCCGCTGCTCCTCTTTAACATCGTGGTTGCCCTTCCTTAGCACTATCGGAGAGTTGGCCGGTTGCTAGGGTTCAAGATCCAAGTCTGAGCGTTGTCTCGTGGCCGTGAAACTGCACCCCCAACCGCCCTCCCGCAATGCCCTGATAAAAAAAAGGACCCAGTTTGTTCCTCATATTATTTCGTCCTTCGTATTTGTGTACTCCGTAGTATTTTTGTTGATGGGTCTCAAATTGGGCTTAAGTTTGGGTTTAAATAATTAGATATATGCATATAGTAGCAATATTAAACAATTGCCACAATAAGTCTAATATTTTGTGGCAAATTTTTAATTGCCACAAATAATTGAGGACTATTTATATATTGTGGCAAACATTTATTTTGCTACTAAAACTTAGCCACAAAAAGTCATATTTTTTGTAGTGTTGTTGTGCTCAAATCCTTTGGTTGAAGCAACAACTTGTGGACTATGGCCTTAGTATCAATCACGTCCCTCTTCGTTGAGATAATACTAGCGCCATAAGCTTGACGAAGAACCCCGTTCTTCATTCAAGGACGAAACACATTGACATTAGGCATCATTTCATTAGAGATCATGTTCTCAAAGGTGATGTCGAAATTGAGTTTGTTGAAACACATAACCAATTAGCCGACATTTTCACAAAACCTTTAGAGAAAGAGTCGTTCTTCCGCATTCGAAGTGAACTCGGAATCCTTGTCTCCACAATGATCTAAGTTGTGCATCTAAACTTGTTAAACATTTACTAACTTGAGCGTCGGAGAACTTTTTCTTTTTTGCAGGTACCCCGTTCATAAAATCAGGGGGAACCATGCAAACAGCGCTGTCCAGGAGACCCAACAGCGCTGTTGAGAGAAACACCATCAACTAGCTAAAGTCAACAGCGCTGTACAACAAGCAGACATCGCTGTCACAGGGAGTCCCCTAATCTTTACTTTCCAGAAATTTTTTAAACATCAATGTTCTTTTTCAAAACATCACTGTCCACCCAAAACACCTTGTTTTCAACCAAAACTAGAAACTTTTCAAACAACGATGTCCCCCTTTCAACATCGATGTCCATTTTTTTTACAAATATTTTTTTCCATTGTAAAAGAGCGATGTAGAGTAACCTAACAGCGCTGTTCAACTGGGTTCATACCCTCACACTTTTCCAGAAACTTCTGGGACATCGATGTAAAATTCTCAACATCGCTGTCCAATTGACTCTTGTTTTTTTTTAAAAAAAAACTTGACACAGAACAGCGCTGTACAAAGGCAAAACAGCGTTGTCCCAACATCGATGTCCCCTGTAGAACATCGTTGTTCTGGTCAAATTTTTCAAAAAAAATACTGTTGGAACAGCATTAAAAGCTCCAACAGCTATTTTTTTCAAACTCTTGAACATTAGGAATCCTTTCTCCTATATATTTGGACCCCCTCTCCTCACTTTTCCACACACAAACTTAATTCTCTTGCATATTTTCTCTTCTTTACAATTTTTGGTTGAGATTTCTTCATCACCATGGGCAAAGACAGGAGCAGGGCTGCAACCTCCGGGAAATCAAAGTCGAAATCCCGAGCACTGACAACAAACTCCGAGGAGCGCCTCTACTACGGCGACAGATCGTACCTCTGGTTCGATTCCGAGGAGGAGCGCACCCGTTTCCTCACTTTCTTCTCCAGACGGGTTGTAGCTCCCCCGCGAATCGTCCCGGAGTGCTTCCCCGAGTTATAGGGCTACGACGACTTAGACGCGTAGCTCCATCAAGCCAGCCTATGGCCGTTCGTCTCCCGAGCTCGGAAGGAGATCAACCCGGCGCTGATCCGAGCCTTCTAATCCAACCTCCGACGTGAGGACGACGTGCTCTACTCGCTTGTCAAGAGCACGCCGATTGAGCTTTCCGCGGCGGATCGCCGGTCTCCCCTTCCAAGGCGACAACGTCTCCCACTATGGCGGAGAGGACTGGGTGCTCAACAACGAAGGCCTTATCCTCAACAAGCTTGGCATCACCGAGCTCATCAGGCACACTTCAGGCCACCCCACCATCCACTCCGCAAACCCCGAAGGCCGTCTCATCCTCTACATCGTGTCCCGGATCATCAAACCTCGGAAGCATGGCCACACAATCATGTCCGGTGAGGACCTCAAGCTCATCCACACGATCATGCACACAGCCCCAATCAATTGGGCGAAGTTTGTCATGATCAACATGACGATCGCCGCGTCCACCGACCACGATCACCTCCTCCCGTAACCGTTCGTGGTGATGGACATCCTTGAACGGTTCAAGGTAACCACCATCGTTGGCCCACTCATGAAGGCCACGAAGCTTTGAATGATCAGCAACCAAACCTTCACAAAGCGGTCGGACAACGCCGCGCCTACTACTGCCGCGCCACGCCATACTGCCCCTACCGCTGGCCCAGCCGAACCACAGGCCCGGGCCAACCTCGCCTCCATTGCCGACTCCCTCAACTGGCTCCACTTCAAAGTTGACGGGATGGATGGCTACCTTGAATGGCTCGACGTGGCTGTTCAACACCAAGGGCACGCCATGAACGCGTACTTCCAACACATCAACTACGTCCCCTCACTGTACCACGGCACATTCCTTGGGGAAGTGTATGGTGACGAGGACGAGGAGGATGGCTCCTACGCCCCGTCAAGCTCTCCGGATGAAGATGAGTTCGACGATTCCATCGATGGGGATGAGATGGACGTCGACGACGATGAGGAGGAAACCGAAGACGAAGCCTAGGACTTCCCTAGATTTTCTATCTCTTTTCCTTCAATTGTCATGTTTTTATTGCTTCCGTTGTACTCTGCCTTTCCCTTTAATAAATAAGATTATCTTTTATCTTTTTGTTAATGTCAAAAGCGGGAAGAAAAGGGCTATGCATATACTAAGGGGAAACGCCTCTAAAAACGAGGCCGTTTGTTTTTTTTTAATTCGATTTTTTAAAAAAAAGCACAAATTAAGGGGGAACTTTTTTTTTCACAACTTTTTGAAAATCAAATATCCCTTGGTATGCATATCCCCGTCTTGTTTGCCATTATAAAAAAGGGGGAAATTGTTGGAACACGGGTTTAAGCCTACGTCGTACTAAACTGTTTTCGTTTTATGACAGGTTTTGATAATGCCAAACCGCCGTGACATAACAAGGCTAAAGTGAGAAAGACCAAGGTGAAGGAACATGGCATGATGATTTGAGAACCAAGAACCAAGAATCAAGAACGAAGAATTAGAATTGTATTGAGTCGGTCTTAATGTGATCAAGACCCGCACCAACTTTCGAATCTTGGCTCTCTAGGCTCCTTTCATCAAAATATTTTTTGCATATTCAAAAATGTTTTTCTTAAGTTTTAAACATGCCCAAAAACACTTGGAGTTCGCCCAAACCAAAAACCAAGCCATCCGACGTTCGGTCTTCAGAAACCTGTGTTCGGCTTTCGGTTATCGGGCCTTGGTTTTTGGCGTCCGAACCAACCAAGTGGTTTTCAACTTTTTATGATTGATTTTTAATTCTGGTAATATTTAAATAGTTCTCCAACAAAAACGTGTCAAAAACCATCTTTCGTTTTTGGTCGTTTAATAAAAACCATGCAAAACGGCGTAAGCTTGGCTAGCTATGGTTTTCAATTAAATGACGTGGTTTTTAAAATGTTTTACTTGATCTTTTAGAAAAATGTTTTAAACAAACATTTTCAATACCTGTTTTTCATTTTGGAGAACTTACTTTTTTTGACATCGGCTAACGGCTGACTAAACCAACCATGGGTCTGGCCAAACCAGACCAACAGCGATGTTGGTGCAACCAACAGCGCTGTCTGGCTTGGGTAGCTGAAAACCATGGTTTGGCGTTAAGTCCTCCAACAGTGATGTTGGTTGTAAGACATCGCTGTTGAGCCAAAGTTGGGTTTCCAGAAACATCTGGAACAGCGATGTAGACTTCCCTACATCGCTGTCCAACTTAAGCCAAAAAGAATTGCTTCTGGTAGAAAGTTTTTGGACAGCGATGTTGTCCTAGCAACAGCGCTGTCAGGCCAAACTTTCCACCTTTAAAGGCAGACCTAAATAGCGATGTTCAAGCAATGAACATCGATGTAGGGACCTGACCGTTGGAGGGAATTTAAGGCTAAAACTTTCCTTGTTTGGAAGTCAACAGCCAAAACAGCGATGTAGGGGTTTTTGGACATCGTTGTTGGCATGACCATTGCTTCCTATTTTTTAAAACCCAAGCCTAGAACAGCGATGTCCAAGCTTAGGACAGCGCTGTCTAGGTGAATTTCAGCAAATCCAAATTTAATCAAATCCCACAAATTATGCCAATCACCCCTTAAATGTTTTGATCCGTTGGAGCCTATTTTCCACTATAAAATGGGGTGTTTGGGTCTGTTTTACACATTACATTACTTCACAACTCCTATTCTTTCATTGCAAATCATTCATCCTTTATTCATAGCTTTTTGAGAGCCATTTTTGTGAAGCTTGTGTTGTGTTCTTGAGCATTCTTAGTTACTCGTTATCCACTCTAAAAGAGAGTATTGTTCTTGAGTGCCTTAAGTGTTCTTAGACACTTGAAAAGAGAAAATATTTCTCCTGTTGTTCGAAGGAAGGGTTGTTTCCTTCGAAGGTTCGTTGAGGTTCGTGTGACTCGAACTCTCAAGTTGTACGGGTTTGTTAAGCACCGTTAAGCTTAACAAGATTGTAGTGTAGCTCGAGAGAGTCTTTCAGGAGGTTGGATTAGCCACAAGTTGTGGTGAACCAGGGTAAAATTTGGTGTGCCTCTTACTCTTTTCTTTTATTTATTTTTAATTCCTGCGAATTCTTGATCAAACGCTATTCACCTCCCCTCTAGCGTTGGTCTATTATTCTAACACGTTATATATTGTGGTATCCATGTCAAGGACATAGAGACCATTTGTCATTTTTGCAGTTGCATAAAATATATCATTTCTAAAGACAGAAAGAGTTTTGTCTTTTATAACGAACGAAAATCCTACTTTGTCAAGACATGATACAGAAATGATGTTTCTGCTCATACTAGGTACAAACAAACAATTATTTAACTATAATATAAGACCAATAGGTAGAGATAAACTATAGGTTCCAACGGCTAATGCATTTACAAGTGCGCCATTGCCGACTTTTAGTTGTATCTCTCCTTACGTCAATTGTCAACATTCATGCAAGTCCTGCCTAGAAGTACAGATGTGAGAACCACATCCAGTATCCATCACCCAAGAGGTGATATCAGACATATTGACTTCGATAACGTAAATACCTGAGTTTTGGGGCTGACCCTGGTAAAGGTCGCTCAAGCATTATATCATAGGACGCACTTCCATGTCCGCGTGGAGCCTTTAATTTGGAGCTCAGCGGTCATACTGGCCATAATGATACACTTTACATCTCGCGCGTCGTCCTCATACTTCTTAAAGGAAGTGATTTCGGACGCACGAGCATTAGCATCAGGGATCTTGGGAGGATCCGTTTCGAGGATGTATAGTTTCCTCTCACAGTTAAGAACGATTCGGAGGTTCATCTCCCAATCACGAAAGTTGGTCCCGGATAACTTGTTGTTTTCCATGATGTAACGCAGGTTGAAAGGGTTGTTGTTGTTTGCCATCTACATAAAATTTTGCAAACTAGGTTATCTATCATGTTTAATAATTAATAAGACCTTTAATTAATTATCTCCCACTATTTTTAACAAATCAATAACCCTCGATATTGATTCGGAGATTTCTGGCGAAACCTCTAGTGGGCCAAGATCCATATTTCATTATCTTGTGTTCCGCTTGGGCGTTACTCCACAAAACAACTATTTAGGTAGGAACATAGTTTCAACTGATGAGCCGGGCTCTCAGCTCTTGGTCCGGTGTTGGGCGAACAATATTACTACAATCGGACCAGGACACCTTTTCACCATACTTGTAATTGGCTAAGGCACGTCTTACAAGTAGAGTACTTTGGTTAGGAACAGATTTCCAATTAAATCATAAAGATCCAACTCCTTGCTAGATGAGTGAGTAAAATCATCCGACTTGTTATTGATGACCCCAACATACTGCCTCTGAGTCGTCCATCCAATTGACCGAGACTTAGTTAAGTCTAACCCAACGTGCGACAGCGACCACGCTATGGCGGTTCCCTAACCAGCTTAACATACACCGTACTATGCTCTACTGAGGTTGAGTACATGATAGTGCACATTAGCCGAATAGGTGCCGGGCGTCAGAAGGCAACAGACTTAATATTCGTGAGAGATTTATAATTTCGATCGCCGCACACATGTAACACCCCACCCTGGGTGACCGATGTTGGCCTTGAATGCCGTACCCCGTAACCATTTTGATTTGCCAAATAAGTCTTCCAAATGTTACTAACATCATTTGCAGGAAGAAAACAAACGCCAAACCTCTATTAGCTTGTTTAGCATCACCGAGATATACTCCTACGAGTTTAGAAATTATTGTGTAAAGGTAATGATATATTTTAATGATTTACTTATGCCCTTTCACTCAAAAATTATTTCTAAAATGTCAAGAATATTCTTAGTTGGGGTTATTTTGAAAACGGAACACGAAAAACGAGTTTTGGAAAAATTGCACAGGTCAAACGGTACCTGGCTACCGTGTACACGGCACCATGGTACCGCCGCTAGCCAAGTGAACGTACCGTTTTACGCTTCACTTGAGAAGTACACGGTACCCCCCTACCGTGTAACGGTACCTGAGTACCGGACGGTAGGCAGAGACGGTTGACCACCCTCGTCCTAACCAGGTACCGCCAGAGGCGAACCAAACTTTTGGCATACACGGTACCCCCAAACGGTAGGCTATACCTTGGTCACGGTACCAAGGTACCGAACGGTACTGACCCTACCGTGAAGGGTACCAGATCCGTTGTAATCACTGTAGCAAATTGCCAATTTAAATTCAAATCACCCCTAATCACTTCCTAACGGCTTTTACAGTAAAAACTCAAATTTTAACATTCCAAACTCTTATATAAACCCCCTCTAAGCCTCATTTTATTCACAACAACTTCCCAATTAAATCTAAAGCCTCTTTCTCTATTCTTGAGTGTTCTTAAAGCTTTGTTCTTATTTTTCTTACTCTTTTGAGTAAAAAGCTTTTATTATTTTCATACACTCACACACAAGGGCATTTGTGCTTCATTATTTTATATCTTGCCTATAGGCTTTTGTTGTTGTTGATTTAATCTTTTGTTCTTCTCCAACCCAATTCATATTTGTTATTATTTTGGTAGAGAAGCAACACCAATCTTTTATTGATTTGTAAAAGGTGTGGATAGCCTTTAAATCCTCATTGTAAGGTTGAAGATAGCCTTAAAATCTTCGGTTGTAAACGGTTGAGATAGCCGTAGTAAAATCTCATTTGCTTATTGGCAAGGGTTGTTTGCCAAACCTCGTTTAAGTCTTCTTAGCTAGTGAAGCCAAACAAGTTAGTGGAGGTTAAATCCATGAGGAGGAGCCTAGAGGTACTGGAGTAGGGAGTTCCCGAACCAAAATAAAATCGTTTGTGTCATATTTTTATCTTTTATACTTTTCTTGCTCTTTTTCCGCTACTACTTTCCACATAAGTTTTTGTTTTTACGAAAAACTTGCAAACACTCTAATTCACCCCCCTCTTAGGGTGTAAACCGACTTTCAACCGAGTCATCCAGACCAGGGTGCTAGTAAAACCCGTTTGCTTAGTAAAACATTTTTTATTTAAAATAAATCGAATTTTATTTTGTTCATTGTTAGATCTGATTTTGTTCATTGTTGGTGGAAATTTTGACTTTCCAATCCGATTTAGACAAAAATTAAATTTGATTTGTTTTCACAGATCTGATTTTATTGCTGCACTTTCCCAATTTCAGTTTTGTGTTGTAGCTTTAGGTAGATATTTCATCTATGTATGTTGAATGGTTTGTGACCAGAGGTTTAGATTTTTTATCTACACTCTCACAGACATACTATGTTTGTAAAGAAAATATTACAGACACGTAATGTCTATAACATATTTGACTGACACTAGTATGACCTAACAAATTTAGAATCCCTCCCAAAAGTTCACCAGTATCCCTCAAGAAGTATCCTTCAAGCTTACTCATCTCATTCCGAATTGGTGCAATAATTGGACATGCTCATTTGATTCTTATACCTTCTAAAACGTGTTCCAAACAAAGTGACATTTCTTAATTGTTTGTTTGTTAAGTTTCAGAGTTAGACTTAATTATATTCCCTTGTGGTTGCTTTTGATGTAGAAGATTGGAAGTTGGAAGATTGGAGGTAGTTGTATTTGGATTTTTACTATGTTAAGAACCTCATTTGGATTTCATTGAGGTTACCCAGACATTATGTGTCTTTGGTAAACAAGTACAGATATTGAGTGTATGTGAATTACTTACTCATAGATGAACATTGTTGATGATATTTATTTTTTCTAATAGATTGAGAAAAGTGCAACTATTTCTTCGGACCATGGCATCTTCCTCTTCGACTTCCAACTACCGTGTGAAGAAGGAGACAAGGAGACAATATGAAGCAATTTCTTCCAACTTGAAGATGGCGAGGCCTGAATTAGATCTACGTTATGGTACGGTAAAGTGTGATTGTTTGCCTCAATCAAGAAATTGTGTAATTCGAGTTGTGACTGACCATGAGAAGCCAAACAAAAGTAGGCTTTTTTATACTTGTGATCACTGTGGGTTTTTTCTTTGGTGCCATCCACTGAAGGCTGAATTTCGAGGTGAGCCACTGCCAATTGATAGCTCTGTAATGGGTCGGTTTGTT